TGATAATCCAAGCTCTGAAGGATCCCCCGCCCTGCAGTGTGGTCTCAGCCAAGTTACCCACATCTCTGAGCCTGTTCCCCCGCCCTGACCAGGCTCACAGAGCTGTTGTGAAGATGAATAAACCATCTCACAAAATACCTAGCTCGGTGACCTAGGAAAGCATGTTACTATGACTACTGCATGATTCCATACCTCTGCTCCCAACACCGTATCAACAGCACTCCAGTTAGCTAAGTAATGTGCCTCTCTGTTCTGTGTTCCTACTGGCTGCTCCTGATGGATACTCGGGGCTGTGGAATGAACAGGTCTGAGCTCACAGAGTCTTAGAGGCTTGGTAGGGCAAAGGTTGAGGAGCCAGGTCAGACCTGCCCACCTTGTCCTTTCCCTGGCTAATCTGGCAAGGTATATCTAGGGCTTGGAAATGGAGCACTGGCCAGACTGCCCTGTCTGTTGGGACTGCCCTGTCTTCCACAGGAGGCCTCTCTCCGCTTCACTCTCCCAGGCCCCAGCACAGAGGGAGCTACCAAGCAGGAGAACTTCATCCTGGGCAGCTGTGGGTGAGCTGGGTTGGGCAGGAGGTTTGGGGAGGGTAGTCTTGGAGTGCCTAGGGGGAGGAAATGCTGGCAGCAGCAGGCCCCCATCTGACTCCTGTGTGTTACAGCACAGACCAGGTGAAGGGCGTGCTGACTCTGCAGGGGGATGCCCTCAGCCAGGCGGTGAGTCCCCCGGAGCAGTCCTGCTAGTGACCGGGACGGTGCTGGCCCCTTAGCTCTGCCACTAGCTAGCTGTGAGACTCTGGGCAGGACCCTTGTGCTCTCTGGACCTGTTTCCTTCTATGTCTGTAACCTGACAAGCAACCCTCACACTACCTCATGAAATAGGCATATAGATTCAACCAGGGACAGGAAGTGGGTGGCTTCACACTTAGCTCAGCCTGGCATCTGGACCCTGTGAAATGTGAGCATTGGCAGCCTAGCTATGGACTATGGAGTAGACAAGGCCTCAAGGCACGGGGAACAGTCTCTTCTGTGGCTCAGTCTTGATTTTACAGCACTCTCCTCCTCCCTAGACCTTCCCTTTCTCAACTTTTTCCATTTCACTGCTCTGTGGTTTGCCTGGACCTGAGTTCCTGTTTCTTGGCATTCCTGTTCACTTAACCCCAAAGTGCCTGGGGCCTCAGCCACCCATCTACTGCATTCCTGGCTCGGGGAGGTCAGGAGGACAGGGGTACCTCTGCCTGCTTATCACACCCTGGCCCATAGGATGTGAACTTGAAGATGCCTCGGAACAACCAGCTGTTACACTTTGCCTTCCGGGAGGACAAGCAGTGGAAGCTGCAGCAGGTGAGGTCCACTGCCCGCCCGGTTCAGGCCCCGAGGCAGGCCCAAGCTAAGGCCTTCCCGGGGCCTTCTGTGGCGAAGTCTGGCCTAGGGACTTAGTGACCACAGCAAACATAGGAGGCTGTTTCCTAACAGAACTGGGGTGGTGGTGCCTTGGGGCCTCAGAGCCTGCTTCACATGAGGGATGTGAAACTGGCCCTACCTTTGTGACTTTGGCCACGTGAGGACAGCTGAAGGTCCCTTTGAATGTCACTTAACTCAAGAGCGGCTTCCCATGTACCTGGGATCATACAAAGGCCTCCTGCCTACCCATACGCCATAGGCCACACATGATCATATATACACACACCCTGGTCTAAAGCTGATCTATACCCTGGGCCTTTGCCTGTGTGTGCTGCTCTGTCTGGAGCCCTGCTCTTTCCCAGCCCTGTGGCTTTTTTTTTTTTGGAGACAGGGTTTCTCTGTATATTCCTAGCTGTCCTGGAACTTTCTCTGTAGACCAGGCTGGCCTTGAACTCAGAGATCCAGCTGCCTTTGCCTCTTGAATGCTGGGATTAAAGGGGTGTGCCACCACTACCCAATCCTGTGGCTGTCTTAGTTCACAGGTGTCTCCTGTCCTCCCTTGTGTCCTCCCTTGAACCCTGCAGGTTTATTACTTTGAGGATGTACTGGGGTTGTCTTTTGAGCAGTGAACTACACAGGGCCAAGAGCCAGTGTGCCTTGGCGGCCAGGGTTGTCCAGAGCCTAGCCATCTAGCTTCAAAGACTACAGCTCTGGAGGGTATTGTGACCACAGGTGGCACTACCTTCTCCCAAGAGGTTAGCCCATCAAGTGGGGTCCTGTGTTATAGGGTTAGGCTGAGAAACCAGAAATGTGGTTCCTCTGAAACTAACAGACTTTGGTTACGGGGTGGCGGGGGCTGTTCCCAGATCCAGGATGCCAGGAACCATGTGAGCCAAGCTATTTACCTCCTGGCAAACCGGGATGAGAGCTACCAGTTCAAGACAGGAGCCGAGGTCCTCAAGGTGACTCTTCCTGTCCTACCCCCTTACCCCGCGAACAGCACCAGCCCCATGTCCCCAGGCTTCGATGGAAGCTGCTCCTTCCTCAACCAGTGCTCGCTGGCCTGGCCACAGTTATTGGCTTATAGCCTGGATTGCAGTATCAGGCCTGGCTCCAGTCCCGGACCTTGACGTGAGACATGCAACCTTCAGTTCTTTGCTACTCTAAGCCCCCATTTGCTCACATGTTCAAAGCTCACCTGTAGTGACACTTAGCTGTAATAATTCAGGTGAAATGCCCCCAGATCTACCTGTTGGTAGTCCTATTGCAGTGGTGGCCGCAGTAAAAACCTGTCACAGAACAGGGCCACATGGTCTGTGGGGACAGCTGACTCAGATGCCCAGGACTCTAGCTTTTTCTCTAAGACCCTCCAGGTAATAGGCCCTCAGAATGGCAAGCACCCCGCTGGAGTTGCAGGTTGGCCTGGGAACCATGGTCACCTGGCAGGAGCAGAAGGAAGCTCCAGGTGTTGATCACTGAAGCTAGGGGGTGGGACTTGAGGGACCCCAGCTGCTACCGCCCAAGTAGCAGTGATGGCCTACCCCTTCCCAGCTCATGGATGCTGTGATGTTGCAACTGACCAGAGCCAGAAACCGGCTCACTACCCCAGCCACCCTCACGCTGCCCGAGATTGCTGCCAGCGGCCTCACGGTTAGTACTTCAGACATCCACAGCCCCAAGAGAAACGTCCCTGCTGAGAAGCCCAGCCAGTGGGAGATCTGGGTCTGCACAGTTTTCTGGGTTGAGTTCTTGGCCTCCACCCTGCATCCTGCCCCCAATATGTTAACCCAGTTTCCAGCCAGTGGCTTCCAGCATAGCAGCACAAGGAGATTATGGGGATACATGGGGAGCCTCTGGTGCCCCAGCCTATGGGGAAGCACCTGGGAACAGGGCTGGGCCCCCCCCCCAGGTAATTCCATACCCTGTAGTGATGCATCCTAAAGTGGAAGAGGGCCTCATCCCTCCTCTCCCCTCCGCCAGCGGATGTTTGCCCCTACCCTACCCTCTGACCTGCTGGTCAACGTCTACATCAACCTCAACAAGCTGTGCCTCACCGTGTACCAGCTGCATGCCCTGCAGCCCACCTCCACCAAGGTAAAGTTCTCCCTGCCTCCCAATGCCCCAACTCCAGCCCTGCTGGGGACTCCCCATGGAGACCTCACGGACTCTGGTGCTTCTGCCTAGAACTTCCGCCCCTCTGGAGGCGCCGTGCTCCACAGCCCTGGGGCCATGTTGTAAGTATACAGTGAGAGGGCCTGGAGCCCTTTACCTCTCCCCTCTGCATCCTGGGGACTGGGTCCAGGGCTGCCTTCAGGGATCCACTTCTCATCTCTCCCCAGTGAGTGGGGCTCACAGCGCCTGGAGGTGAGCCATGTCCACAAGGTAGAATGTGTGGTCCCCTGGCTCAACGACGCCCTGGTGTACTTCACCGTCTCCCTGCAGCTCTGCCAGCAGCTCAAGGATAAGGTGTGTCCAGGGCAAGTGGGGCAGGGGAGGCCATTCAGGGGCCATGTCACACTTCCTAAGTGCCCCGGGGTCGTAAAGCCTGTTGTACTGAAGACATCAGTCAGCTGGCAACAGTTCCCAGATGCAATCCCCTTCTGTGACCTTGACTTCTCACCTGGGCTCTGGGGGGTTATAGCACCCCCTGAAGCCAGTGGGCACCCTCCCACTCATGTTGTTGACCACACCTCCACCCTCTGCAGATCTCTGTGTTTTCCAGCTACTGGAGCTCCCGGCCCTTCTGAGCAAGCACCTGCCAGAATCCCCGCCCCGGAGGGTAGCCCCGCCTTGCAGTCTTTCTCCCCAGCACATAACCCCTGCAGTGCTGCCGCTGCAGCACCCCCAAGTTATTGCTCTCCCTCCTCACCACCCCGTGACACATTTGCACTGCTGGAATCGAATATTAGAGGCCCCTGGAGAAAGGGGTGCCAGCTTGGTTGTTAGGATGGGGGAGGGCAGTCAAGTAGGTGGGCTGAGGTGTGGCCCTGCTCCTAACCCTGCCTTCCTGAGTTCTCTGGGAACCTTTGGACTAAGGGTGGGACCAGGCCCAGGGCTCTCCTGTCTCCCACTCTCTCAGCTCCCATTAGTGAGGGATGGGAGTTGACACTGAGCTGGGAGTTGCAGGAAGGAAGAGGGGCCCAGGGCAGGGAGAAGTAGCCCTGTGAATAAGCTGCAGTGCTGGGATGGTTTCTTCTATGACCTCAACCCACCTCTAACAAATAAAGATCAGATTTGGACTGGAGCCCTGTTTTCTGTCTGTCTCCCTGCTTAGTAGGGACTAGGTTGAAGGACCCTGGTCATCAATGGCCTCCCATGTTCCTGTCACCTGATGTCCCCCCACTCAACACCATGTCAAGGCTTTTGAAGTAGAGTCTGGCCTGGCGTTGACAATCCTGCCTCAGCCTCTTGAGTGCTGGCATCACAGCCTGTGCCCAGGTAGAACACACCCTTGAGAAAGGGACCCCTGGCTGCAGGGTGGCCCTGTGGGATAGTGGCAAGAGTCAGTTCAGGCCCTTAGTCCAAGAGGGAACCACATGTGCATCATAACCACCACACGATCCGTGGCAGGGCTTAGAACACAGTCCAGACTCAGGCTTTGGCAAACATTGGCTTTGTTACTGTCTTCCAGCAGGACCCATGCCAAAGTCTGGCATTAAGGTTCCAGAGCCAAGTTATCCACACCCTTGGGCTTTTCCTGCAAGAGAGACAGAGAAGCCCTGTGGGTAACACTCCAAAGCTCTGCCAGAACCCTCTGCAGAAGCCTCTGCCCCTGCCTGTCCCACTTACGAGGCTGCTATGGGAGCTCTCCTTCCTGAGGGACACCCACCCCTTCCCGGGTTCATCATCCCAGGCTCACCTTCCGGGGCCTGGGGGAGGGGCTGCAGCAGCAACAGCAGCAGCAGTGAACGACAACCAGTAACAGCAACAACACCACAGTGCCTAGGGACCAGACCGACAGGCATGCAGATGTGGCCCTGCCCCGACACCAGGGTAGAGCCTGGGACCAGGAGCCACACTCACCCACAAATATGAGAAAGACCGCAAAGGCAGCGACGTCCCACTCAGACTGGAACAGCTGGCGGCTCTTCAGCCTCCCCAGGACTTCCTCTGCAGTGGCCTCCAGCTCCCGCCCCAGCTCATCAGCAGACCGTCCCATCTCAGCTACCTGGCCCAGCCCCCGCAAAGGGCCACCTCAGTCCACGCCTCTCTCAGGTCATCCACAACTTGACCATACCCTAGGATGACCCCGACCCCCCTCTGCCTTCCCCTGCCTTCTGCCCGGTGAGCCCTCCAGCCTCTTCCTCCTCTTCCTATTCCCTCTGCTCCAGACCCAGGAACCTCCTCCTTCCCTGTCATACCTCTCCACCATCTCCTCCCTGCTGGTCTCTCCTCCCTCCGCTGCTGGCCCTTTCAGCCCCACCCCCACCCCCACCCCCGACCCTTACCCAGGCAGCCCACCCACCATCCCCTTACCTTCTCTCTCCCTAGCAAGGCTGCTTCCAGTGCCCCACCTGCCTCTAGTGGTGCCCTCTCCCCCAAGCAAGGTAAGTCCCAGGATCCTGGAACTCGCACTGCTTCCTGCTTCCGGATCTACACCACCTGAAACCTTAGCAACCAGCCCCACCCTCCCCTCAGGGCCAGCTGAGGCTGTAGAACTGGCAAAGGTCAGGGCCCAGCTGACTTAAAAGAAATCATTTAATGGGAACTCACAGTTCCAGAAGTTAAAATCCCCAGGGCCTAGGGCCCTTGACCTTGGGACCTCTGACCTTCCCCAGTGAAAGCAGAGCTCACTCTCCCCTGTATTCTTGGCACCTGAGGGTCAGATGCCATCTATACCCAGCTGAGACACAGGTGGCTGTTTGACTCTTTGTTTTGCTTTTCAAGACAGGGTTTCCCTATGTAGCTCTGGCTGTCCTGGAACTCACTCTGTAGACCAGGCTGGCCTCGAACTCACAGAGATCCACCTGCCTCTGCCTCCCGAGTGCTGGGACTAAAGGCGTGTGCCATCACAGCGTGACTACACCACCACTGCCCAACAGAGCCACTTTTTTTTTTTTTAAGATTTATTTTAGGTTCATGAGTGCTTTATCTGCATGTGCACCTGCAGGCCAGAAGAGAGCATCAGATCCCATCCATTACAGACAGTTGTGAGCCACCATCTGGGTGCTGAGAATTGAACTCAGAACCTCTGGAAGAACAGCCAGTGCTCTTAACTGCTGAGCCATCTCTCCAGCCCTGACAACAGTTTCTTAGTCATGTGGCTCTTAATTGTTTGCAGAGGGGGAGCGTCCAGTGTTAGGCCCTCACCTTACACGGCTTGCACCTGACCTGGCTTATTCACAGAGTGATCCTAAAGAGATGACCTCATGCTGGGCGGTGGTGGCGCACGCCTTTAGTCCCAGCAATCAGGAGACAGAGGCAGGTGAATCTCTGTGAGTTCGAGGCCAGCCTGGGCTACAGAGTGAGGTCCAGGAAAGGTTCCAAAGCTACACAGAGAAACTCTGTCTCAAAAAACAAAGAGAGAGAGAGAGAGAGATGATCTCACTCTTCCCAGACTGGGAACATAGAACATACAGTTGGTAGAGTGCCTGGCATGGGCAAGGCCTTGGATTTGATCCCCAGCACCACATAAACTGGGCTTGTAATCCCAGTACTTAGAAGTAAAAAAAGTCCAGAAGTTCAAGGTTATCCTCAACTATATTATAAGCTTGAAGCCAGGCTGAGTTACATGAGACCCTGTTTCAAAAAGAATTGATGGTACACACCTGTAATCCCAGCACTCGGGGGCAGAGGCAGGTGGATCTCTGTGAGTTCAAGGCTAGCCTGGTCTACAGGGTGAATGCCAGGACAGCTAAGGCTACACAGAGGAACCCTGTCTCAAAAAATTTAGAAAAAAAAAACTGGGGAGGCCGTCAAGATGGCTCAACAGGTAATGAATAGTGCCTGCCAGTAAGCGGAGCAGCTTGGAGTTCAATCCCTGGGACCCACAGGATGGAAGGAGAGCGCTCCTTGTCAAGTTGTCATCTCACCCCCACATGCACACGTACAGGGCACAATCAAATAAACAAATAAAATAAATAAATAAATAGGAACTGGGGCATTGTAACATTAAGCAACTAATGAAAGTTAAACAAAAAACAAACAAACAAAAAAACTTAAGCCGGGCGGTGGTGGCGCACGCCTTTAGTCCCAGCACTCGGGAGGCAGAGGCAGGCGGATCTCTGTGAGTTCGAGGCCAGCCTGGTCTCCAAAGCGAGTTCCAGGAAAGGCGCAAAGCTACACAGAGAAACCCTGTCTCGAAAAAACAAAAAACAAAAAAAACAAACAAGCAACTAATGAAAGTCATAATACTCCTGATGGACTCATTTTCCACTGTGATGTACATGCCACAGGCTCAGTGGCTCCAAAGAGGGCATGCAGATCCTCTTGGTTATGTAGGTCAGCCTCCAGTGTGGACTGGCTGGGCTGTGGAGGGAATGGCTACCTCTTGCTTTTGCTAGCCTGCAAGACCTTGCCAATGTGTGAGTTTAGGCACATCCTCTGATCCCTCTGTTTTAGTAGTCCTATCTGTAAAAGTGAACACGAACTGTGTCTCTTCCTCGGGTATTTATATTTGTCTGTCTGTTTATTCTGGAGACAGGGTCTCTCTACATAGCCCTGGCTGTTGTTGAACTCACTGTGTAGAGCAGGCTGTCCTTGAACTAATAAAAGTCCACCACTGGGATTAAAGGTGTGCACCACCAAACCCAGCTTCAGGATGTGGGAACTCCATGCCTTGATGATCCCATGGGATTTTCTCAACAGCAGGATGCTGTGTTAAGTTGCTTGTATTTCATTGTGACAAAATACCAAAGGAAAAGAAGGAAGGTAAGGTTGACTTTGGCTCATGGTTTTAGTCCCTGGTAGCAATGTCTGTCCTAGTTAGGGTTTCTACGGCTGTGATAAAACACCATGACCAAAGCAACTGGGAAGGAAAGGGCTTATTTGGCTGACATATCCTGAATCACAATCCATTGAGGGAAGCCAAAGCAGGAACTCAAACAGGGCAGGAACATGATGGGGAAGTTGGGAAGGAGAGCTTCTCACTGACTTGTTCCTCCTGGCTCAGCCTGCTTTCTGATAGAAGCCAGGATCAGCAGCCCAGGGATGGCACCACCCACAATGGGCTGGACCCTCCTCCATCAATAACTAATTAAGAAATTGCCCTAATACTAGATATAAAGCAAAGGACAATCAGACTGCAACCCACAGATCCAGGGAGGCTACCTAGCAGGAGGGACCCTAGGATGACTGTGGCTTATAATAAGTTTTGGTTTTGCCTAATCACTGGGCAAGCCTCAGTGAAAGATTTCACTGTTAGGATAAGAATTTGTACCATATCAAGCTGATGAAAGAATATGCTGGCTGTACTTTCAGGAGGGGAGGCTAAAATCTTTTTAGATTATAGATTAGCCTATAGAAAAATGTCTGCCGTAAATCAAACAGTGAAGGGGAAGATGAATAGGAATCTCACTTATACAACTTAAGTAAAACATAGCTCTCTGAACAGATGAAGATAGGTTTCTTCTGTATCCCAGAATCTAATCAATATTTATATGTATAATTCAGCTATCATTTGGCTTAAAAGGGCTTATTGGGAAATGTTATCATTTATACTATTTTCTACAGAGAAAATATTTTACTGTTTAAAATTTAAAAAAAGAAAAAAGGAAGAAATTGCCCTACAGGCTTGCCTTCAGCCCAATCTTATGGAGGCAATTCTTTCAGTTGAGGGTCCCTCCGCTCAGATGGCTTCCTGTGTGAAGTTGACACAAAACTGGCCAACACAGTGCTGTGTCTGAAGACAAGCCAAAGGTGAGGGAGGAGCCCAAGCAGAAGAGGACACGCACCGGCTGGAACCGGAGAGTGAGATGAGCACCTGGGGGCAGGCCAAGCCTCACAGCACAGTCACCAGGCACAGAGAGTGTGCTAGCCCACTGGCGCGCCTGTCCACCTAGGTCACCTGGGAGGAGTGGCTACAACAGAGGCCTGAGCCCTCCCCGAGAATGCCGGTCAACCCCTCCGGACATACAAACCTTAGGGCTTGCCAAGTCAACACCAGGAAACAGGTCAGAAAGGCTCCAGTGCATGGGTTTGGATAAAAGTAGCCTGGAGCCACTGAGATCGAGGGAGGGGTGAGACATGGAAGAGAAACTCCTGGCTGCAACTGGAACTTGAGGAGCACACTCATCTAGCTTGTGAGGCTATGGACTCCAACCTGCCAAAATAAAGACAATTTTATTTTTATGTGTACAGTGGTTTTGCCTGCATGTATATAACCCGTGCACTATGTGTGTGCAGTGCCCTTGGCGGCCGGAAGAGGGAGGTGGAAACCCAGAACTGGAGTTACATATGGTTACGCCCTCGTGTGGGTGTTGGGGATGAAACCCAAGTCCTCTGGAAGAACAGCATTGCCCTTAACCATTGAGACATCTCTCCGGTCCCAGTTGCCCTCAATTTAATCGCAAGAAAAAGGTTGGGAAATTTTTTTCATTTATTATTTATGAATTTGTTTATTTATTGTGTGTGTGTCCATGTTTTTGTTGGAGGCAAGACATCCCACAGTGTGTGTGTTGGAGATCGGAGGACAGTTCATAGGACTGGGTTTCCTCCTTCCATGTTTACGTAGATTTGGGGGATTGAACTCATATCTTCAGGTTTGGCGACAAGCCCCTTGTGCTGGCTGGTTCTATGTCAACTTGAGACAAGCCAGAGTTATCAGAGAAACAGGAACCTCAATTGAAAAGATGCCTCTAAGCCAGGAGGTGGTGTCACACACCTGTAGTTCCAGCACTCGGGAGGCAGAGGCAGGCAGAGCTCTCTGAGTTCAAAGCTAGCCTGGTCTACAGAGTCAGTTCCAGGACAGGCAAGGCTATTGACACAGAAAAATCCCTGTCTTGAAAAACCACACACACACAAAAAGCTTGGGCTGTAGGCAAGCCTGTGGGGTATTTTCTTAATTAGTGGCTAGTGGGAGAGGGCCAGTCTATTTCGGGTGATGCCACCCCTGGGTGAATGGTCCTGGGTTCTATAAGAAAGCAGGTTGAACAAGCCATAAGCAGCAAGCAGCACCCCTCCATGGCCACTGCATCAGCTCCTTCCCTGCTGGAGTTCTGACTTCCTTTGATGGTGAACTGTGATGTGGAAGCTTAAGCCAAAAAAAAAAAACCCTTTCCTCCCCAGCTCGCTTTCGTCACAGTCATAGTAACTTTTATCCTCTGAGCCATCTCAACAGCCTGGAAATCTTGGGTTAAATCCAACACAGTCAACCCTTGTAGCCTCTCTATGTGCAAACCTTGCTGATTGGTAACCACCAGCAATCCAACAGTCTTATATGGGCACTCCTATGCTAAAGCTCTGCCCTGTCCAGTCCCACTCTCTCATCCAGTGAGGAGGTTACACAACCTCCCGTCCCTGTGGTTTGTAAAGGTGCCCTCACTCTGTCCAGGGAACGAACGTATCCAGCCACTCTGTACCTGCTGCTGGGAGTTGTGGGTTCTTTGTCTTAGGATCTGGGCCTCTGCCATGTGGCTAGTATGTAGACCAGCCCAACAAAGCTTGTATTACAGAAAACCCTCCATGTCTAGACTTTTGGCAAGAGTTAGGGGGAAAAGCTAAGTGCACTGGTATACACCTGTAATCCTAGCTTCTTGAGACAAGAAGATCAAAGTTCAAGATCACTCTGGTTACATATGAAAATGGGAGCAGCCTGGGCATATGACATTCTATCTCAAAAGTAAAGCGTTATGTGGCCCACTCAAGAGGGCAGAGTGGCCAGGGCTTTTTATTTATTTTTTGGTTTTCTGAGGCAAGGCTTCTCTGTGTAGCTCTGGCTGTCCTGGAACTTGC